AGAAGAGAAAGGGAATGAAAAAAGAATTAAGGTATGTTATGTGCAGGTACCACCTCCTCACAAGGACTGTGATCATTATGTGTGGTGACCTTATACTAATGAAAAAATAAACTGGGCTTGGTGGCACACACCTGTAGTCCCAGCACTTGGGAGGCTGAGGCAGGAGGATCACCTCAATTTTGAGGACAGCCTAAACAGCATAGCTAGACCCTGTATTTAAAAAAAAAAAAGTTGGAGCTGGGGGGTGTGTGTGCGTGCATGAGTAATTTCAGCACTCAGGATGCTGAAGCAGGAGATCACTGTGAGTTCGGGGCCAGTTTTCAATGCTGGCCTGAACTGCATAGTGAAACCCTGTCTTGAAAAGAACAAACAAGAACATTGAAAAATACATTTTGGTGTATAATCTTTGGTTTCAAATCTATTTTTATGAAAAAGTACATTTATAAAAATAAAGATCCCCAACATGTGCTATTCTCATGTCTGCTTTTCAAGCTTTCATGGCCATCGAGCTATGGTCATTCACGTGCACTCCGTGACCGTCCCAGCATCCTTACGGCCCTTTTGTTGCTTGATTTTTTTATTGTACTGCAGTGATTACATATAATTTACCATTTAATTGCTGAAAAAATTTTAAAAATATAGTAAGGTAAAATAGACACCCAGGTCCCACCTGAGCCATTTTGGAGCTTGTGGTCCTGGGCATCACTGAGTTCCCACTGTCACTGCTTTCCAGGGAGCTCAGCCCCTCGGCCCCGGGGTCTGGTGCTTGTGCCCTGCTCTGCTAACCTGGGCGCCAGAACTGCACGGAATCACAAACCCTATTTTATTAGCACTGAACACACCTGCAGACAGGTTCTCGGGTTCCTTAGCTCATGGCCTGAGTGGAAGGAAAAATGGACACACTGTGCACTTATAGAATGTGCCCTGTAAATTCTGGGACCTCCTTTATTTTTCTTCCTTTCGTGGTGCTGGGGTTGAATCAAGGTCTTCACACAGAGGCATGTTTTCAGCCCTCTTTTCTTTTGATTTTTTTTTTTTTTTTAAAGAAAGCATCTCACGTGCAGCAATGCTTCTGCTTCAGCCTCTTTGGGTGCTGGGATCACAGACGTGCACCACCACACCTAGATGTCTCCTCTTGAGCGACTACCCATGCCTCTCTTCTCCTGGGAAGCTGAGTCAGTCATGGGGTGTCAAGGTGAGGACAGAGTGGCTTAGGGGGAGCTGCAGGAACCTCATGTCTGGAAAAGCCAGCACTGGGCACAGTGACAGTGACACCTGGCCTCAGCTGCATCTTCATCTCTTGACCTTTTAAATGATACACTCCTTTTTATTTCAGAGCCAAAGGCTAGGGGCCGAAACTGCACAGAGTTCTCACCATGTGCCAGCCCCTCCATTATTCATGAATGAGTATGTTTCTCAGGAAGCTCAGAGACTTCAAGGTTGAGAGTTTGGGCTACCTGGCAAGGATGTCTGTCGTAAAGGACGAGGCTTGGGGACATGCAAGGAGTCAACAGGACTGAATAATGATATGACTCAATATCAACAGCAGGGCTAGCTGGTCATAGTAGCTCATGCCTGTAATCCCAGCATTGGGAGGCTGAGGCAGGAGGATCACAGCGAGTTCAAGGTCAGCCTGGGCTACATAGCAGCAGCACCCAATCAGTCTGTCTGTCTGTCTCAAAAAAAGCAGGGCTGATAAAGATATGAGTGCCACTGTGCTACAGGAGGGGTTTAGAAGGGTCTCTGGTCAGGACGGGGCCATGGGATCCCTGCACCCCTCATCCCAGGCTGGGGATGCCAAACATACATTGCATCACTGAGTTACACCCAGGCTTGCAATAAAGTTTATCTAATAATGAAACTCACTCTACAGATGATGAGTCTATTACTCAACCGCAGAGCCAAACTCCAACTCCATCCTGTCTCAACTCAGTGCTCTAGTCTTCCCTGTCATTTCTGCCATCTCCTGAGTCCACAGCTTCCAGGACACAACTTCTGTATGGATTTACCTTTAATCTGCACATGGCCCCCCCAGGATTAAATTTTCATCTTTCACCTAAAGGTGAAATATGATCCAGTCTGGTGAGTCAATGTGAAAAGGCTTACTAAATCCCATGCTGGGCATGGTGGCACATGCCTGTTATCCCAGCACTCAGGAGGCTGAAGCAGTAGGATCACTACGAGTTTGAGGTCAGCCTGAGCTACACAGTGAGTTCAATCCAGCTTGACCTGCACAGTGAGACCTGTCTTAAGAAAACCAAGGAGGGGCTGGAGGTTTAGCTCAGTGGCATAAGCACCTGCCTTGCAAGCAGGCAGTCGTGAGTTCGATCCCCGGCACTGATAAAAAGGAAAAAGACAAAAACAAAACAAAACAAAAAACCAAGGGAAAAAAATGTCACCTCGTTTCCCTTATGTTATCCATATGCGCTCAGCCACTTCTATCACAGTTCTTTTCAGCCAAGCATCTTAGGTAAAGGGTCAGGGGCTTCAAACCCAGCAAGGAACACCAAACATATGAGTTCCCTATTACATGGGCAAGTTGGTGGCCTCTGATTCTCACTGAATTTTCTCATGGTATTTTTATGTGTCTTTTTTTTTTTTTTTTTTTTTTTGTCTTTTTCCTTTTTTATCGGTATCGGGGATCGAACTCACGACTGCCTGCTTTCAAGGCAGGCGCTTATGCCGCTGAGCTAAATCCCCAGCCCCCTATGTGTTCTTCTTAAATCTAGCTTCACAATATACTTTGTGGTTTGACTGGTTGATTTGAGACAAAGTCTCACTACATAGCCCAGGTTGGCCTTGAACTCCAGGTAACCCTCCTGCCTCAGCCTTCCAAGTGCTGGGATTACAGGAATGCACCACCATGCTCAGCTTCACAATATTTTCACTGGGTTGGGGAAAGAGGGTGTTACTTAAACACTGCTTAGACACAAACTGGAATCACTGTACAAATCTTTTTTGAAAGTCAGAAAGTGTTGGGACTGGGGATTTAGCTCAGCAGCATAAGCACCTGCCTTGCAAGCAGGCGGTCATGAGTTTGATCCCCGGTACTGATAAAAAGAGAAAAAAGAAAAAAATAAAATAAATAAATAAATAAAAGCCAAAGAAAGTGCTTGGAAAACTGGGTGAGCAAACTCTTGCAAGGAGATTACTGCCAAACTCCCAAGTTTCATTCCTTTCATTCTCCTTACCAGGAATGAGGGTCTTTAATGGGAATTCTTATTTTGTTGTTATTTTTGGTACTGGGGATTAAACTCATAACTTTGCACTTGCCAGGCAGGTGCTTATGCTGCTGAGCTAAATCCTCAACCCAAGATACTGAAGTTTTTTTTGAACATGTTGGAATTAGGAGCCTTTTTTTTTTTTTTTTTTTGTATGAGGAATCGAACTCAGGACTGCGTGCTTGCAAGGCAGGTGCTTATGTTGCTGAGCTAAATCCCTGGCTGAGGGTCTCTATATCATTAAAAAAAAACTCACTCATTACTGAAGACCCACGTATCCTCACCCCCTACACAGGAATCAGTCCTGTGACAGCTTCAGGATAAAGAGCCACTGTCCCCAATGTGTCTGCTTTTCTGCTGCAGTTTGGGCGACAGGGCTAGGACATCACAAGACACAGTGCACCTTCGGAACAACCTGAGTGCTTCAGAGGTCCTTCTTGCCTAGGTTCTAAAGTTATTCACGCTCACCCTTCATGTAGGAACCTGAAGAGCACCCACCCACCCAACAGACCAGCCTGGGCTACCCAGTGAGTTTAAGGCCAGCCTGAACTACACAATGAAATCCGATCTCAAAAAACAAAACAGCAAGCCCAGAAAGGAAACGGGAGAAAACGAGTTTTACTATGGAGTTCAGGCGCGTCTCAGACTTGGCAATCCTCCTGTTCAGCCTCCTGAAGTTTTAAGCATCTCCATGATGCTTTGTGGGGTTGCGTGAAGGTCAGTTTCAGTCTTGTCCAGCACCAACAGATCCACGGCTAGTGTGAGAGAGACCACACTCTGCTCTGAAGCTGTCGTGCCTGACCCGATATGGCATCTTTAATCATTCCCCCTTGCACTGGTGCATTTTTGGTTTTTCATGTTTTACATTACCTTGGCCCTTTCCCCTTATTTATATTAGTGCTTAAGTACTACCTAGAGTGATCTTTTAGGGTGAAAATACCCTGACTAGTCTTCCGGTACCAGGCATACTCAGAAAAACAATTAGAGGCAATGCGGGCACTCAGTGGGCAAGGAATGGATTTGGGTTTGGCCCTAAAACATCTCCCTGCTGCGATTTTTCTAATTATGAAAGTAATATTCGGGCTTGTTGACCAAAGAAACCGGAGCAAATGCACACAACTGGTAATGAGAGTGACTCTGGGACGAGAGCCGCTCCCTCCAGGAGGGTAAAGATGCGCTGGGTCTCCATCCCGAGACCACGGGCAGCGCGCAATCTCTGCCCAGTGGTCCAGTGGGGTTCGGAGTGATCGGCCGCCGGCAAGCCCGGGCTCGGGGCCGCCTATGGGCGCTTCAGCTCGGCCACCTGCGCCGTGACTTGGCGCCTTCCCGAGACAGCGCCCGGGCTCTGTCACTTCGCTCCCACCGGTCTCCAGCGCCGAGACCCAGCCCAAGCACTCCCCCACCTCCCGTAACAGTCTACCGACTGAAAATAGGTTCCGAGTCCGTCCCCCGACCCCCCGCCGCAAAACCTCCCCTTTAAAGGGAGCCACCGAGTGACGCCGGGAGTTTGCGGAAGCGCCAACCGCGTTGGGGCCTTGGGCGGATCCCGTGATGGGAAACGGCCCCGCCCCCGACTCCGCTTCCCCCATTGTGTGAGCTGCTCGCGTGAGGCCCCGCCCCGCCCCTCCCCCAGAGGCCCGGCCCCTCCCCCTTTTCACCCCCCCTTGGCTCATTTCCGGCCGCCGTCGCTACCGCTAGCCTGTAAGGAGGGTTCGGCAGAGGGAAGAAACAACAGCCGCCATCTTGTTTGTGTGCTAGGCTGGGGGGGAGCGAGAGAGAGGGCGAGAGGGAGCGGGCGAGAGTGGGCAGACGGGACGCCGGGCAGAGTGCGAACTGCGGGAGCCAGGGAGTGCGGCGAGGAGCCGGGCCGGAGTGCGGCGGCCGAGGCCAAGACAGTGGCCGGGGGCCCGGGGCGCACGGGCCGAGGCGACCCCCAGCCCCCGCCCGCCGCCCGCACACACCCCCACCGCGGCCCGGGAGCCCGACCGACGTCGACGCCTAGGGGAGACCATTACATAACCCCGCGCCCCGCGGCGCCTTCGCCCGCGCCCAGGGCGTCCCGGAGCCGAGCCTCGGGGGGCGGGCAATCCCGGCACCCGGCCGCCAGGGTGGGGGCCCGAGCCGCGGCCCTGTTGATTAATTTTCCGCGGGAGAAGAGGGCTAAGGCTGCCTGCGCTGCCTCCCGAGCGAGGCCTCGTCGGTGGGCTCGGCGTCAGCACTGCTCGGCCCTTCGGTCCGCCGAGCTCAGCGCCCGGCGCTCTTGCCGCGCCTCTGCTGGCCGCCGCGCGATGTGAGGCGGCGGCGGCGCCCGCCTTCCTCTCGGCTCCGGTGAGCTGTGCGCGGCCATTAGGGCCGGTGCGGCGGCGGCGGCGCGGTGCGGTGCGGTGCGCGGAGGGTGGGGGCGCAGGCCCGGGAGGGGGTACCGGGAGGAGGTGAGTCTCTCGTCGCCGCCTCCTCTCCCCCTTTTCGCCCCCGCCTCCTTGTGGCGATGAGGAGGAGGAGGACAGCGCCGAGGAGGAAGAGGCTGATGGCGGCGGCGGAGCTCCGAGAGACCTCGGCTGGGCAGGGGCCGGCCGTGGCGGGCTGGGGACGGCGTCTCTAGAGCCGCGAGTCCTCGGGAATTCGCCGCGGCGGACGCGCTTGGCGAGTCGGTGTCGCTGTGTCCTCCTCCGGGCCTGGCTCGGGCCCGGCCCCTCGCACTTGCCCCAACCTTTTCCGATCGGGTCCGCATCCCTTCTCCGGCCGCTGCGACCCGGTGAAGAGAAAAAGGAACTTCCCCACCCCCCCTCGGGGTCGGCCGAACCCCCCCAGCCCACCCCGGGGATCGGGGCGGGGGCCCCGAGCCGAAGAAGAGATTTCCTGAGAATATTCGCTTTCCTCGCCTGTATCTCCGAAAGAATTAAAAATGGCCGAGAATGTGGTGGAACCGGGGCCGCCTTCAGCCAAGCGGCCTAAACTCTCGTCTCCGGCCCTCTCGGCGTCGGCCAGCGATGGCACAGGTTAGTATGGGAGACTCGGCCTTGCCCGCACCCTCGGAGCTTTTCTGCTCGTTGCACCTTTATTCTTACGGGGTTTTTTTCGTTCTTTTTCTCTCCTTAGCTCTTTTTGCAGTAGTTAATTTTAAAGGTGTTTGAATGAGCTGGACGAAAGCGTCCAGTGGCCCAACCATTTTCTTTGCCCCGATACATTTGTTGCAACACTATGTCATGTCGATGTGTGTTCTGGAATTAGAGCTCGGAAGTGCCTGCTGGATGGAAACGGCCTTTATTGTTGCTTCCATGCCGTGTGATTTGAGAAATGCCAGTGCATTTGTGTGCAAGGGTTTTTATGCAATTTTAGTTTAAAATTTTTTTTGGTCGTCGTTGGTGGATGGATTTTGAATCTTTTCTCCTCCATTGCTCTTTACTTTCCCACTTTTCCTTTTCGAGATTTTCTGTACTTTGCCAAAGATTCTCTGCTGAGGAATGTAATGTAAAAAAAAATTTTAAAAAATTATGGTTATCAGAGTCAGGATTTCAGGTTTGATGTGAAATTTGCAGAATTATTTTATCCTACCTACAGCTTTTAGCCAAGCCCCCCCACCCTGTATTTGCTTTAAGAATCAATATGGAGCGCAGTTCATTTCACATTTCTCAGTTATTTGGTGTAAGACCCAAATGTCTGAAACTCTGGATTTAGGAGAAGGGACATTTTCTGTGCAGCTTACTCCTTATTTAAGAGTGAAGAAAAATGGTTTTTTTTTTTTTTTTAAAATTGTGTACCTGGAAATCAAAATTAGAAGTTGAGAGAAACATTGAAATGATTGTTCAAAAGTTTAGAAAGTGTGTGTTTGTGCTTGTTTTTGTCCCCTTAGTTTTCGATCATATTTTGAGTTCAAGATTTCTGTTTCATAGCTCTTGGGATTCTTTTCTTCACTCAGTTGTGCACAGCCCCTTTGTTAGGAGAAATTGAGAGAGACCTCTTCCATCATCCCTTCTCTTTCCCTTCTTGCTGTTGGTTTAATAGTGGTGTCCTGATGGCCACCGGCATTCTCTTGTGCTGTCTTAGTTGTTTGCGATGCCAGGGTAATGAGGAGGAAGAATGGCTGGCCATCTGACAGTCCACAAGATGTTCCTCTTGTACTATGAGCATCTCTTTAACTCCCTGAGAACTGCCTCAACGTCATCTCTCCATCTGCCAGGGAGAGTGCATAATGGAGTTAACCGTACCCTTTAACTTGGTGGAGAACTTCTAGAGCATGTTTCTAAGTAAACTTCATCTCAGAGGGTGAAAACAGGAGGATATGACAAATGCTTTCAATTCTTTGCTTTTGTAAAGTGGATGTGTGTAGGGAATCAAGAGTTAGCTAACCAGCAGAAACTGAGAAGGAATATTGTAGTGTTTTTACACCTAACTACCTAACTACATTGACTGTGCGTGAACTTTAATCCGTGTTTATGCTTGAAGTTTCTGTAGGCTTCAGGAATTCTATTCTTTAAAATTCCTAAACATTTTCCTGTATTCCTTTGCACTTACTATAGTGTTATTCAGCTTCTCATATTTAGACACACATTCTTCTGTAGATTTTTGTGATGTTTCTTGAGTTTTTATCTAACATGATAATGAATTTTTAGTTTGAGTTAATAAGTTCAAATATGATAAGGCAAACTTCATATTCTTTATTGATGAGCCCTATTTGAGCGGCTTAGTCTTTAGGTGCACCCACTGCCTTTTCCATCTGATCTGTGCTCTCAGCTACATTGTATAACTTTGGCTAACTCATTTAGGTAGTATTTCACCTGGTTAATAATCAAAACCTTTTGCTCCTTGAAATACCTTCAAAGGTATTTCAATTACCAGCCATAAATGTAAACAACAACAACAAAAAACCTTTAACAGTGGGATTATGATTAATACTGAGTATGTTAGTTAGTATTGCTTCAAAAATTTGTAGTGGGAATTAATTTTTTCCACTCCTTTCATTGAGTTCTGCTCCAGGAATTCTTCAGTGTACAAGTTTTAATTGAACCAGTCTTAAAAGTTTTTTTACCCTATGAATTTCATTGGGCATCATTTCTATTTGATGTTTTTGCATCCTGCGGTGTGTAATGTTAAGTTTGCAGGCAACTTTTAATTGATACACTTCACTTCTAAAACTTTAAAGCTTCAAATTTATAATTCTACATTTCGATTTTTGACATCATTTAGATGTTTTATAAATGTAAAAGGAAGTTGTTCCTTGGTACTTGATTTTGGTTTTTTTAATCTATAACTAGTTAAAATGAGCCAGAAATTCTAAACTTTTTATTTTTGGAGGCAAGGTCTCACTATGCAGTTTGCGCTTACCTTGAACTAGAGTTGATTTTCCCGCCTCAAAAGTGCTGGGTTTAAGTGCTGATGTTACAGGCAGGTGCCTGGCAACCCCAGAAACTTTTTTTTAAAAAGTGATTTTGGTGTACAAATTTTATAGTGTAAGTACACCTACCTAGGGAGTTGGAGTGTGTTATCTTTATAGGAAAGAAAACTGGAATCTGGTGGTTAGATTCTAAAGCATTACAAAATAGTATTTAAGTTGCATCTTTCAAGGTTTTTTTTTTTTTTTGTTTGTTTGTTTTGAGAGAACCTCACTGTGTACTTCATACTGGCCTTGAACTCACTGTATAGCCCATGCTGGCCTTAACTCTCTGATTTTGCTTTAGCCTCCATAGTGCTGGGATTACAGGTGAGTGCCACCACACCTGGCTAATTTTGAGATTTTTTTTTAAGATTGGGCACTGATAGAATATGAAAGTGACTTATTTAGCACTCTCCCCCCCCCCCCCAACCAGGGATGGAACTCATGACCACCTGCATGCAAGGCAGGTGCTTATGCCACTGAGCTAAATCCCCAGCCCTTTATTTAGGTTTTTTGACACAGCTCACTATGTAATGAACTCATTGTAGTCCAGGCTGGCTTTAAACTCAAGGTGATTTTCTTGCCTCAGATTCCTGAGTTCCAGAGTTAGGGGTGTGAGGTACCTTGTCTGACAGTGACTTTTTTTGAGACAGAATCTTGCTTTGTGGTTTATGCTGGCCTTGAACTCTGTGTGTAGCCCAAGCTGGCCTCAGACTCCTGGGGAACCTCCTGAGTGCTGGGATTATGGGCAAGTGCTGGAATCATAGGCATGTGCTACCACACCTGGGCATAAAAAAGCTATTTGTAATTTTTAAAAAAATTGTCCCAGAAAAGTTAGTATCAGATAAGTTCTAGAAATATTTCTTGAATCTATTTCCAGTATATAATAGATGAGGGTCTGTTGCCTTCATTGTTCAGGGAACATGTTCTGTCACTGTAAGAATTTAAAATTAAACTGGCTGTGGCGGCTCACACCTGTAATCCTAACCTTCCAGGAGGTTGAGGCAGGAGCATCACAAATTTTTTTTTTTTTTAAACTCAGGTATTTAATGTGAAACAAATTAAAACTTAGGCAGTTTGGTGGTATTGTACCAACTTTATTAAATGCCCTGTGTTCAGTCCTCAGAACGACAGAGAGGATAAAACACACTTTAATGCTGTGTACACTTAACAGATTCTGGAAACAGATTCTGTGCAGGACAGTTTATGATCTGACATAAATCAAGTAGGGTGAAGAGTCTTCTGTGGCCCTGCTGTGTATGTCAGGAGTGGCTTGGCTTTATGCGTGCCCTTCCTCTCCTGCATTTTAGTGGCACAGGGCATATGGTATGTAAAGTATACCTGCATTTTGACCACTAGATTAATGCACACATTAGAGAAGTAGGGATTGTGAAAATGCCAGTTTTACTTTCTCAAAATTGCATGTTAGTGACTTACCACTCTAATCAGAACATTCTTTATTGGTACAGGGGATCGAACTCACGACCACCTGCTTGCAAGGCAGGTGCTTATGCTGCTGAGCTAAATCCTCAGCCCCTAATCAGAACGTTTTAATGAAGGCCATCTTGCTCTTCAGTTCTTCGTGTGCTTTAATCTTAATTTTAGGTGTGAGTATTTACAGTTCTGCATCTAGAATCTTCAAGATATGACTTCTTGGTCTAGTGAGGCTTTCCTGACTGTAGAACATTAGCAGAACATTTTTTTTTTTTAAGAGACAGGGTCTCACTATATTACACAGGCTGGAGTTCAGTGGCTGTTCACAGGCGTGATCCCACTACTGATCAGCGTGGGAGTTTTGACCTGCTCTGTTTCCGATCTGGGCCGATTCACTCCTCCTTAGGCAACCTGGTGGTCCCCCGCTCCCGGGAGGTCACCATATTGATGCCGAACCTAGTGCGGACACCCAATTGGCATAGCGCACTGCAGCCCAGAACTCCTGGACTCAAGGGATCCTCCCACCTCAGCCTCCCTAGTGTAGCTGGGACTACGCCAACCCACCCCCCACCCCCCCCCACCCCCCCCCCCCCCCGCGAGCGGAACATTTTGCCAAGTGCCCCAATTTCTCTGGCAAGTCCTTATTCTCAGGGCCTCACACATCCATTGAAAGGACCACAAGAAGGCTGCCAGTGAGGTTTCCCTAGGGTGTAAGTTTGGGTGCCCTTTCCCAGCAGGAACTCATCTTTTGTTGCTAGTTAGAAAACCTGTTGATGTGTTGAGTAGAAGATGGGGTGGAGGTTCCCTCCTTGATTGCCTTGCGGCATTTTTTTACTTTGGTTTTCTACCTCTTCCAAGTCTGCTCCATAAAAAGAAAAATCGTGACAGTTGAAAACTAATGCTTTAGTGGTGCCTCTAGAGACACGAAGTAGTTAAATGGGAAAGAGGAAAAGAGTAGGAAGAATGTTGCAGATACAAGTGGGGGTGTAAAATCCTTCCTGGTGTATTTACCCAAACAATTCAGGATCTGTTATGCCAATTCATACACCCAGCAATTAGTGGAAGAGTAAGACGACTTTTGTGTTTGTCCAGATTTTAGTTTCCTTATTTCTGAAGTTGAATTTTTTTAATGTGTCAAACACTAGCAAAATTAATGAGAGAAATTTTACATTTAAAATTTTACTAAACGTA